GCGGCTACTCGAACCCGAACATCTCGCACTACTGCTATATCCAGGGGTCAAGGATTGCAACCCTTGTGGACCCTGATTTCAAGACGGCAATGCCCCACATGGAGAACACGTCCGACCTGGCGGATACGCAACCTTGCCAATTTGTATGCTACAAGTGTGCTGGGAGGGCCACGAACGAGAACTACGAGCACCCAACAAGAGATGGCCCCAGCTGCAAGTTCAAGAAGCTCGCATTGCGCTGCCTGAAGTCCAAGGCAGATGATTTCACAATCCGCCAATCTCTTGAGAAGGTGGAGAACGCCTACGACAAGACTACCCGCGAACAGGTGCTGGTCACCTTGGAGGGATTGCGCGACACCCGCATCAAACGCGGGTCGGACTGGGTCACCCACTTAGATGGGCTGTGGTTTTATAACTAGTTATGTTGTTATCTTACATTTAGTAACTATGTGGTAACTGTATACTAACAAGGTCTTAACTGTACTCTAACACATTATATTTTCCTTAACTTGTTAACATAATTGCTAATTTTCTATAAAAGTTACATAACTAACATAATTAGGTTAATTAAGTTAAAAAGTTAGCAAAATTATAACTAGTTAGCCTAGAAGACCACATCAATCCTAAACAACATTTTTACTAGCAAGCAAGCAACATTTTTTAGCCTATAAGCAAACATTTTTTGGTAGATGTGTTGGTTCCTTGTCTTGTGCATTGTGCCTTTTGAAATAAAATTCAAGATTTTGTCGACAAGTTTTCATTCAGAACAATATAGTGGCTTGACACCCAGTGTCCATTAGCTGCATGGCTTACCATGTACAATAGCTGCATGGCTAACCAAATCCTCTAGTTGCATGTCAATTAGCCGCATGGCTGGCCATGTCAATTAGCTGCATAGCTAGCCATGTCCAGTAGCTGCATGGCTGATTGGAAATAGAGCTCACAGGTTAGTTTGAAGTGGTAAGGTTTCTTGACAAGTCATTGTGACTGTGGCATTTTTACAGCTGTCTCTACATTCAGCCATGGAAGCTGCTGGTGTTGAGATCTCACATACTGTGAGCTTGAAGTACAATGGGAAGAAGCAATCGATCCCAGATAGCTTGATTGTTCAGGATGGTCTGGGCCATGAGTTCTTGAAGGTTGCAGCCACCAATCAAGTGATCTTGAGGCTGATCTGTGGCAATTCCCAAAAGAATGCATCGCTTGCTGGTGGCCAGAGAATTACAGACCTCAAGCAGCAGAGGAACCAGAAAGCTGGTCTTGCTGCAAGTGATGGACCAGATGAAGAAGAGTGGCTTGATGAATGTCCAGATTCTCCACATGGAGCCTTCAAGAAGAAGCAGAAGGTTGAGAAGGTGGTGACCTTGGACATCGGTGGTACACAGGTATCCATTCTGTGTCCAGCCAAAAGGCTGGCTGCTTCTGACTTGATGGTGAAGCTGGACACCGCTATGCTTTATGCAGTTTTTGAATTCCTCAAAGAGGATTGCCATGATGAGGGTCGGCCCACCAGGAAATACCAAAAGACTGGGTTGCATAAGAAAGCTGGTGGCAAGGATTGCGATGAACCACCTGAGGAGTGACACTGAACATGGAACTTGCTAAAGGAAAACAGGTTCGAGCAGTGCTTCAAGCATATGTTTTGATGTCATTGGTCTTCAAATCACATTATCCTTGTGGATTTGTCACACTTGATTGTCAAAGCTGACTTCAAATCACATTATCCTTTTGGATTTGTCACACTTGATTGTCAAAGCTGACATTATCCTTTTGGATTGGTCACATTTGATTGTCAAAGCTGACTTCAAATCACATTATCCTTTTGGGTTGGTCACACTTGATTGTCAAAGCTGACTTCAAATCACATTATCCTTTTGGATTGGTCACACTTGATTGACTTCGACTGAAAGCCAGCTTGAGACTGCCAAAAAGGTAGTTTGTACTGCACTGATGATGGTATTGCATGTACACTTCATTTTAGCCTTTTGGCTTTGGACATCAATTGGACTTCATATTAGCCTTTTGGCTTTAGACATATTTTTACCATTTAGGCTTTCGAGTTTGCTGTTAGTTTTGATTTCATTAGCATCAAGCTGTATACTTTCATATAGACATTAGCCTGATGGCTGATCATTTCAAGTTTATACACATTAGCTTTATAGCTATTCACTTCAAGTTTATTACAATGCAGATTTTTGAATTAGGAAAAGCAAATCAATTTCAATTCAGATTCTGAATTGAAATGAAAAGATTTTTGATTTCAATTCAGATTCTGAATTGAAATGAAAAGATTTTTAATTTCAATTCAGATTCTGAATTGACATGAACATATTTTTAATTTCAATTCAGATTCTGAATTGAAATTTTGTTGTCTTTTGAGTTTGCCTTAAGGTTTAAATTGACATTTCAGAAAATATGTGCTCTGAATATTGGATGGTCTTGCATTGATGAAACTGTGTTTCTATGTGCGGCCAGTCATCTACAAGTCTTGGTAGAATGGAAGTGTAGTGTCGCCATGTCTCACTGGACAGTTGAAGCTTTGTTGGATGAGATCTCTCACCTCATCACCTTGTATGAGGTGAGGAAGGATGCTGATGCGGTTCTCAAGATGGCAACTTGCATTGCCTCTAAGATCACAAGTGCTAGTGAGATCACTCCCTCAATGGGGTTAAGCTTTGCCAAGCAGTGGATAACGCACCACTCAATGATGCTGTCAAGGCTACTTTGCACAAAGCCTTGGATGAAAAAGTCATGCATGGTCTATTGTCAAAGGGAGTGTTATCCAAAGGCATTTTCAATTTACTCCAAGCCCTTGACATGTGGGAAGTGTTACAAGGCTATGTGGAGCAGTGGCACTTGCCTCATGCTGTCAGCAACCTCAAGCCCAGTGCTCTCTTTGAAGCAAAGCGAATTAGCAAACACAAAAAGAGCCAGAAGCTCAACAGCACTGCTAGTGAGTTTTTGTGTGTATTACCTATCCTTGCACACTTTGCAAGGGTTGCTTGTCTTCCCACTGGCACACACACCCAGGAAATTGATGCATTCTTGTCTTTGGCGCTGGTAGTGGAAATGCTGCAAGCCTGTTCTTACATCAGTGTGCAGCCTGCTGCCCTTTTAGTAGCTATTGAGAGATCTTTGAAGCTTTGGGTGGACCTTGGGTGGCATATGCTGAAAAAGCACCACTGGCTTCTTCACCTACCTACATTCCTGTCCAAACACCATGGAGAGAAAGAATAAGATGATCAGTCGCCATGCAAACATCATACAAAACACCAGAAGTTTTGAGA